ATATATATATATGTTTGTATGTACCAGTCAACTGGCTGGTCAAATCTAGTTGCACCACTGAGCTGATCCTTTATAGTAATGTCCCACGTGGGTTTTTTCAAAGTTTTGCTTCATGGAGACTCTCTTGAGCTCCCCTTCATTAGATGTAAAACCCTTTCTGTGGATATATAAAATTTTGATTTTTGGCTATATATATATATATATATATATATATGTATGTATGTATATATGTATGTATAAATTTACTTTTGTACATTGGGTAATTTATTAACACTGAACTGGATTGCGGAGTTTCATTCTATTATTGGAATACCTCTATATCTCTGTGATGGAAATTTTTTAATCACTTCTATAATACTATTCTGTGGCCTAGGTTTTGATTGTATTTACCATAATGTTATTTACTACAACTATGATTCCCATTGCACTCTTAAAACCTATACTTTTAGTCTATGTAGGATCCATAACAATAAATAACGTCTTACATCAAGCTTGTTGCTCACGATTTAGCAACTATTTCTTTGAAAATCTTTTATTTCATGCTATATTGCTGTATCTGGCCTTAAAAGAAGTATTAGCTGGGTTATTTTAAGCAGCTATTATTTACAGCTGCTTTCAGTTTATAAATTTAAGATTATATGATACAGACTTCATTTCCTTCTGTAGGTTTTGAGCACTCGTGCTCGCAAAGGTGTGATCTTAAGTGACATAAAAGTAGCTGTATGCACATTTGCTTTTGATATTCTCTACATTAATGGAAGGCCTCTCCTCCATGAACAACTCAAAGTTCGCAAGGAGGTACTGGAGTTATGTTTAGAATCATATTCATCCTGCTTGCACAATGCAATTTTTATTAATTACAATGCTAAGATATGTTCCCAAAACATCTTGTATGACATACTATCATGTTAAAGCAAGCAAGTTATTCTAGCGTGCCTCTTAGGGTCACCTACTTGCCTTATCCAAGCTGTTTGATTTTTGGCTATTCCATATCAAAATGATCCATCTATAGGGATCCAGATCATGCAATGCAGACTCTTAATGTTATAATTAGAGATCTGTGGATAAGGAGAGTTAGATTCTGGATGTTAATCCGACGAGACCACTACTTGTTATAGCTTGGTACGTTGTAAATCCAACTCAACATCCAATAACTTGACTTGGTTAATAGTTTAATACAACTTTTTTCGACATCTTTTGAGCCCATTTCCATCGTCTTCAAATCGAATCCTACAGGAGCTTTTTGGGCATCTAGAGATTAGCACCTTTTTGAGATCTGATCCTTTTCAAAATCCCTTCGGATAGAACCTAGTGGAAACATTTGTTAACCTCGTAATCTCTTTGAGTGACATGTAAAGATATTGGAAGAAGTTTCCATTGCACTATTGTCTTTTTTTTTGTTCAATAAAACATTCCTTTTTTCTTGTTGAATAAAAATATTCTTGGGCTATGTTTTCTCATATCGCAAGCCATATGGCTTTTCTGGTTTGCCAGAGCCATCTCGAGTAGGTTCTCGATCATTTCACAGCTCAGACATTCCTTGCTACTAAAGCTTCTACTTTGAGTAGGGACATCTCCTTAAAAGCAAGACACAAATAAGGGTGCTTATATGACCCTTTTGCAGAGTTTTCTTTTTGTCATCTAATGTCAGTCCTAGTTTCCCTGGTTCATTTTCAAGTAATTTCTAGATTTTATTTCTTTAAGCGTTTTCTTATAATCCTTCACTTTTACCTTTTACTTGGTACTTCTTGCCATCATAACTTTTGCTTATTTCTCCATACTTTATGTGAGAAACTATTTCATCAAGTAATTAGAAAAGGAAGAAAAACATTCTTGATCTAAAAAGGTTAAAACAAATCACACATTTAAACACAAAATCTAATGTTATTTTTTTATTAAAATTTGTTAGGATGTGCTTTTTAATACATTGTAGTCAGTGGAGCCTATTGCTAATAACAAAGGAGGCTTTATGAACTGACCATAAATTGTTGGGAAATGATGACCGATGATGTTAACGAAGGTCAAATGAAGATTATAAAAAATGAATTGTGATCGTAACTTGAAACATACAACATTATAAACAAGAATAATATTACATATACATGAGCCATTAGTTGTAAACAACAGTAAATTTCTAATTAAAAAATTTTAAATTTGATGTCTATTTATTCATAATTATTTTTTGTTGTTGCATAAAATGATAAGAAACACCTATGACTGGCATGCTCTAGGTCATTGGGTGAATTCAAAATTACAGTGATTGCATCGTCAATAGTGCTCCTAATAAGGACTCCTTTTGGGCTATTTATGTTTTTTTTTTTTTACTTTTGTTGTTAAAAGTTACTTTCGGAATCATAATTTCTGTTACGCTTGCCCAATTGCAGCTTTCCTAAGGCAAAATATTGGAAAAGTAGTAAATTCCTATCATCCGAATGAGTTCCTCTCTGGCGATTACCCTTGCCACGAACATAGAATGATATCTCAAATGAAGATTAAGTTGCACTAAGTTCCATTTGCATTTAATCAGTTGAATATTTTATGATAAAGATTTTCTAAATCTTTTTAGAGGCAAGTGCTAAACATGGTCAATGTTGTTTGTTGGGGGGGTTGAATAATTGATTTTAGTTATAAAATCTGGAAAATCAAATCAAGCAAATTATGCTTTTGAATACATTAGTTGGTTTGGTTCATCCAAAATAGAAACAATCTATGCTTGTTAACATACACATGGAAAAACAAGCTTAATAGAAACAATCTATGCTTGCGGACAAATTTAAGAAAAAAAGAAACCATAAGCTGATAAACGTTGATCAAAATAGCTTCAGCTCGATATGACACAATGCATTAAATATTTTCAAAAGACAAAAGAAAAAAGTTAAATTAAATTAGAGTTGTTTAGGTTTTGAACCTCCCTTGAACTTTGTTTTTGTTAAGTGGTAGGCATCTTTGTGTGACCGACCATTATTGTTATAATGCTTTCATTCATTCGCTCATACTTTTTCGTATTCACCATCAAAATTGATATACAAATTATTATTATTAGTGTTATTAATAGAATTTGTTTTTTTTCTTTTTCGGTTATTTCTTATTTGTTGTATTGTTTTTTGTTTATAACTTTCCTATTATCATGGAGCTATTAGGGAGAGATTTGAATATTATATTTTTCCTATTTTAAATCATTGTATCTTCTATTTATATCCCTTTTAATATCAATAATATTATTCTGCTCAATTTTCAAAACCTACAGGGTATCAGAGCCACGGATCTTACCCTAGTCGCCGAAACTTTTTTGAAGATCTTCCCCAACAATTTTTCAGCCGTCGGATTCCTTGCATTCCCTCCCTTGTAGGTTTTAGCCCCTGATACCTTTTTCTGTTGGCTCCTGGCACCAGGTCTCTCTCTTCATAGCCAGATTTCCTTCCAGGACTGCTGAAACTCCCTTCTGCAACCAGACCTCTCCTCTGCATGCCTTCCCGCTGCCGAACCTTCTTTCTACCGACTGGAATCTTCCCTTTCAGGCCCTATTTTGCTGCCAGCTACATAGGGAGTGTCTACGTCTATGCTCGGTCCCCAAAACTCACCTTTGGCTCCGTTAGAGTTACGACAAATTCCTCCACTACTGAGCTTTTATTTGACACTATCCTTGAGTTCACCGGAGGATCGCCACCTATCTCAATCTCAACTAGACCAAAGCACATGCCAACCTCATGAATTTTTTGATTACCACTTAAAAACTCAACGCTCAAATATCCTCTGATTGTCTTAAGCTATTTCACTGTTCATGAAAGGTCTAGGTAAATTTGGTCACCTTATTGGTACACTTTGGAACCTCTGAAGACTGACCTAACTTATGCAGCATGAGAAGTGGAGAACTCCATGGTTATGTCATTGTTGATTAATTTCATGGAGACCTCAATTGGCCATTTGTACCTGTTTCTTTTGTCTGGTAGTTCAATCTGGATTTCCGAGATACCTACTCGAATGTATGGAAACCTAGACCACTTTATGATGTTTCTAATAAGTCCCGCAGGGCAAAACAAGGATCAAATATAGTGACACCGTACTACAATGACTTGGTGGTTGCTTATGGATGGAATGTGACTTCTACTATAACTGTATGTGGGACTCTCCTATAGATCTTTCGTTCTTCCAAAAAATTTTGAAAAAAAGATCGTATGTTCCAATTTCTGGCAAGCCTAAGCAAGGATCTTGATGATGTCCGCGACCATATACTTTACTATGATTCTCTTCCTTCAACCCTAGCATCATTCACCAAGGTCAGCCGTGAAGAAAGCTGACGACTTGTCATACTCGACAACTCTACTTATTCAACCAATTCTTTAGCCGTGGTCTCCAACAGTGCTTCACACTCCGCTACGCCGTCACACACCTAGCGTGGTCCTTCACACTCTTTATGTGATTTGTTACAAATTCTACCATACCCGTGACAAGTGTTGGAAGCTCCACAGAAAGCCAACAAATAAATCTTCAACCCACTCTTGCGTTGCTAAAGGTCTCACTACGACCTCAGAATCCACAAATGTTTAGCCAGCCCCCACTCGGAACATTTCTGAATTATCAAACACCATCAAGAGTCAGATGGAACACTCAATTAAGTTGCGTGGATCTAGTCAGTTCTCGTCCGACCTATCGACCTCTCTTGCTCGTCAATGTAAGATTTCTATGACACTCACAGGTTTTGCTTCTTCTAGTCCGTGGATTAATGATTAAGGTGCCATGGACCATATGATCGGGGTTTCTCAATTCTTCTCGACATATTCTCGTTGCTCTGGGCGAGACACTATTAAAGTTGCCAATGACTCCAATAATTCTATTGCAGGTAAAGGGCTGGTAGTATTAACAGTCAGGCTGATTCTTGAATCTATGTTACACATACCTTTGCGTAAATGTAACCTTTTATCCGTCGGTAAGGTGACATGTGACTTTGATCGCGTTGCCCATTTTTCTCATGATGTTTGTGTTATTTAGGATAGTCGTTCAATGAGGATGATTGGAACTGCTAAGAAGGTAGACAGATTCTACTTCAAAGAAAATGACATTGATGACGCAGAAACTCAATGCCATACTTGTAGTTTTTCCTTTTCTATTGCTTGTCTAAGTTTTCTTTTACATCGTCGCTTGGATTATCCCAATTTTTCAGTATTTAAAACAATTATGCCTTCTGATGTTTATTGATAAAAATTCATCTTAACTGTGAAATTTGTCATTTTGCTGAATATCATTGTGTACCATATCCACTCAACCGTTACACTCCTTCTCTATTTTCACTGATTCATAGTGACTTATGGGGGCCCTCTCGAACTACAAGCTACATCAATAAACAATGGTTCCTTACTCTAATTGATGACCATACTTGGATGACTTGAGTCTATATATTAAATGACAAATTTGAAGTTGCCGTCACCTTAAAAAATTTTCACTCTTTCATTTTGACCCTATTCAAAACCTTTTTTCAAGCTCGATGGACCGACAATGGCATTGAGTACTTTAATTCTATACGAGCAAAATCCTTGGTGAGTAAATGCATCCTCCATTATAGCTTCTGTACGGATACCCCTCAATAAAATGGGGTTGCCGAGCGAAAAAATCAACACCTTCTTGAAGTGGATCGTTTTATTATGTTTCAAATTAATGTCCCTAAACGTTTTTGGAATGACATCGTTCTTATTGCCACCATCCCATTAACAGAGTTCTCACAAAAAATCCACAACTTTCGGATCCTGTTATCCATCTTGATGTTTTGTTTTCCTGTCAATCGGTTCTTCTCTGCATTATAT